TTCAAATTCTAKTTATTTTAAAATATTTTCAACCGCATTAATCGTTAAAAGATTTCATTTTTGTAATTTAAATAATCTATATATAAATAGATATATTAAAAGAACAACCAATAATGATAAGGTGGATTCATATATCAAAGGTTTTATTGATTCTTATTAGTTTAATATATAAATGTGATCATCGACTCATTTAACTAACTTCAATAATTTTAAAAAGGATTATTGTCACCATGCAACGCATGATGTCAAACACTAGTCTATTATAATTGAAGTTTGAGTAAACTTCCTCTAGCTTGTTGAAAATTGTTATTTTCGTTCTTATGCTTTCAAAGTTACAGTTTTGGTCCCAAAATCCCAGTTGTTTATTGTGTTTTTTCGTCTATGTCATTTATAATTCATTTTTTTTTTCATTCTTCATATTTGACGGTAAATCATTGACAGAGTCAGTATTAGAGACGGAAACAACAATAAATTGTAAATCACAAGGACAAATCACAAAAGCCATAATTTTGATTTTCGAAAGCACAGGGATGGAAGTTGCAATTTTTAACAAACTATATGAATGAAAATCATAGTTTAGTTTATTATTAGTTTATTATATAAATACTAATCACGCAATGCAGCAAGATATATCTCAATTTAAAATATATATATAAAAATTATCATTTTTTGTGTAATTTAAAAAATATAAAAAATTATCATTTTTTGTGTAATTTCTTTAATTTAATTTTTTTATTATTTTTGGTTTAATATTATATTTTTTTATAAAGATAATAACTAAGTATTTTGTTAGAACTTAATAATTATCCTAATTATATTTTAGATTTTATATTTAAAATAAAAATTTTATTCTGTATTTGATTATATTTATCTACAATTTAAACATGGATCTTCATAAGTTGTACTTATGCACAATTTACTTGTAATCTTGAATTTTAAGTAATATGCATTGATATGCAATACTTCATGTAAAAAAGATGATTTTTAAGAGTTTTTGTCAAATGTTTTATAATATGGTATAGATAATATAAGAAGAAAAAAAAATTCAACCTTGATCTCTCTAAAACTAACTGATAAATATGTTCAAATATATCATAAGTGTTTGAGCTTTGAATATGATAAAATACTTCATAAAGTTGATATGAAGATACAAAACGTCATTGGTTATGACAAGTTGTTGGTTAGATCAGTTCGGTTTTTTTAAGATTGTTAAATTTGGACTAGGTGTTGAAACGTCTACATTTAAATTCTAATCGTGAACATATCTGATAATAACAACAACTGTTAAAGCCTACTGAGAGTCACTGAGGAACACCGTCTTTGCGATATGTTCTGTAGAAGAGAAAATGAGCAAGTGACTTTTCTCTCTTGCGATGATTCGATCTGGTTTTGGTATAAATTGTTCGAACCTAAAATGAAGATGTTCGAAGATAGATCGTGTACGATATATTTTGACGTTTTCTACCCTTGATCCTTTTAGGGATGTTCGACAAATTTGGAACAACATCCTTAACTTACGTGGTTATAGATCATAGAATTAATACTGTTGTAAATACGAGACTATTTTGTTTAGTTGTGGCTACTGGCACCAATCTTTACAAATGTGTTTATTTGTGCAAAGCTCAAATAATAAATTGACAAAAATACCCTTAATGGTTTTCATCGTCGACTTCGTGAATGGCGGCCGTCACCTATGACTGGTGGGGTAAAAGGGATGTTGTTGTTATTGGTGGTGGGTGCAATGGGCCCGAACGAAATTGTACCCTATAAGTCATTAACTGTTATTTAATACTTTTAAAATACTAAAAACGCTACAGAGATCATCGTATCGTTTTCAAATGTCGTTTTGATCAAATTCTATACGAGGATTATAAAATTACCTAAAACTCAATAATCTTATACCATTTTCACCCTTTAAATTTTGGGGATGGGTAGTCGGTTTCAGGAAATGAAAATAAGAATAAGAATACTGTATTTAATAATAACCCATTAAAATATATCAAATCAGATACCGTTCATGATTTCTAGCGTATCGTAGTCTAATCATATTTTCCATCCACTTCCTTTGTCATCCTCTCCAAAAGAGCTTCAAGAACACGATTTTTTTCCACTTTAGTCGTAAAATGAATCTCGAGAATGTAGTGTAAAATTTTATTTTTATCAGTTTTGAAAAACCTGTTGGAGATACTCTAAGGAGATTTTGGAAGCTGACACGCCAATTTCACAAAATGACCTACCAGAATCATATTTAACTAGTTATGTACCCGCCCAATGTGGCGGGAGCTGTGAATTTTAACGATTTTGAAGTTTCTTTTATTAAAGAAGATTTAACGATTATATAAGTTACACTTGGTCTTTACATACTAATACAATTTGAATAAACAAGAGTTATGGTTCCAATTACAGTCTATCGATGAAAAAAATTGTATAACAATTTAAACTCCAATATATTTAAAATCCAACATATTTAAACGACTCCACAAATGTGTTCGATTTACACCAAGAGCAAATAATCAAGAGATCGAGAACGAGATTGAGAGTTCTAGAGCAATTAAATGAGAGAACTTTTAATAACTCACGGTGAATATGAGTTTGAATCTCACCTTGGGAGATGAGGAGAAGACATAGAGGTATGAGAGGGTGAAAGCATGAGTGAAAGATGTTAAAAATATCTTGGAAACATGAAAAGAAAAAGTAATAATGTGTATTGGTAACTTATACTGTATGTTATTTTAATTGTAGATTAAAAGAACAATACTTAATGTATTATAAGTTGTTTTAAAGACTTTGTGCATAAATATATAGTACTTTATGTATTAAAAATTGTTTTTAAGACTTTTGATAAATCTAGTTTATAAGGTAGTATAGACTCAGATAAACTATATTTTGCTTTAACTCCAAAATCTTAGCTATCAAAAAGTGAAAAAAAACCCAGATTGATATAAAAAGAGGAGCAAAAATGTAGATTTGTAATGTCATTATCTCTCAAAAAGTGCAACAATTATCGGAAAGCAATCTTTTTCACATACCACTGTCCCCAAGCATGAAAAACATCAATGATTTCCCATGGCCCCTCCTTCCAAGCTTACTTTCCAGATAACCAAATACCTAAAACCATGGTGTTTACTCATTACAATCCCACTCTCCGAAAACCCTATTTCACGATACTTACTTTTGGGTGCTTCGTCTCATCAATGGACGAATCATGGAGGATGAGAATGGGATCAAAAACGGCAGCAAAACAACCCAACAACCTCCCTCCGCGACGGTCGACGGAAGAAAACAATCGACAGAATGTTTACGAAGCCTTAAATCCTGAGGATTTTGATGATGTATTCGGTGGTCCACCTCGCAGCGTGCTTTCCCGCCAATACTCCGTTGAAGCCGATTTCGCTAGGTCGACTGGTTTGGTGTATGAAGATATTTTCAGGAAACCCAAAGGGAATACGGATTTCGGTGGAAGGAGTGATCGGACGTTACCGGAGTTTAGAATTCCGGCGAGTAGAACAATAGGAGGAAGGCGAAGGAGTGAAGAAGAGTTTTATAGTGATATATTTGGTAATCCGAGAAGGTCGAGGTCGAGATCTAAGTCGCAGACGAACTCAAACTCAAAATCGTCGTCGATCTTGAGCTCGGAGGAATTGAGTCCGTTCCGGCCGGCGGTTATGGATGACGACGACGTCTCTTTCTCTTCTTTTGCCTCCAAGCTCAGGTAGTGTACTCCATCGCCATTTTCCTTTTTCTTCAACATATTTTCATAATTGCCCCTGCTTTTTCGTATTTATTACACTTTGACCTTCTAAATTTGTTTTCTGCCATTGCTCTAGAGGTTTATAATTTACGCATGAGCCCCTGTTGTTAAGAGTACTATCACTTAGCACCCTCGTTTTTTGATAGGTTTACCAATTTAATGGATGATTTTAATTTTATTGACAAATAGGTCCAAACAATTATGTAGTGTTTAAGTGGTTCCTATTGGGTTGATTACGAATAGGTGAAATTAATTATAATATTGTTGATTAATACAACTGTTGGATTAGTTGCTAAAAAGTTATTAGAATTGTTGTTGGGTAGGGGTTTAAAGAGTTCATTTTGTATGAGATTTTGTTGGTATTTGATTTAGTTCTATATCATCTATCGAATAATAAAAAAGGCCGAAAAAGATCTTAACGGCAAACGGTCGCTCAAATTTGGTAACGAATCCACTAAAAAGATCAAACCAAACCGTTTTGAAAGGTCTGGTAACGGTTATACCTTCCGCACCAATCGAATGTGCACACTCCTTGTATAAATATTATTTGAAGCTTGAAAAACCACATTGCCTGGGTGATATATTTGTTGTTTGACTGTTGGATGCACCCCTGATTGGAGAATGAAAATCTCCTGTCCCCTATATGTCCACCAATCATGTGAAGACTTTATCGAGGAGAGAGAATAAAAATGAGTTAAATAGATATGTAGTAAATAAAATAATGATGTGTCTTCATGTAATTGGTAGGACATAGGATTTGGGGACACGGGATCTTTTATTTCCAATTGGATGCACAAATTTGATATCTGAGCTTGGGATCTCTAAGTTATCGAACCTCTACTATTCTTGATTCATAAATTCATTGTTTCCTGATATAATACTTGTGATGTATATTCACACACTTTTCACAAGCCGAGGTCTTCATAGCAATACTCTTTGTGGTGGGGGTTAGGTCAGCTTACATATATATCCTCCCCGGCCCCACCTCTAGGTGGGATATGCTGTTCTCATTTGGTTTGGTTTAACACTTGTGATGTATGAATAATAACAATATCCCCTGTTGTCAAACCTCTTTGTATCCCCGGTGGCCAATCCAAAAGACGAATCCATTTGTGACACATCACCCTTAGTAACATCTCCACAATACATTTCGACAACTTCCCTTTTTTGAAAATGGGTGATGCTAGGCTTCGCCCATACTAATCTCATGGCAAATCACGGCTCTACAGCTCTAAGGTAAATCTCCCAGTGGCCACAAGCACATATGTAGATGGCAGCCTGGCAGGATTCGGACCTGGGTTGATTTTATCATCCTTTGTCTTTATCCACCATGCTACCACCCTTGTGGTTTCGACAACTTCCTTACTAGACAATCTTGTGGTTGACCCCTGTGCTTGCAACATCTTTTTTTCTCTTCAAGTCTTTAACAGCTGATTACATGTAAAATGGGATATTGGCAGACTTTCGATTTAAGCTATATTAAAATGCATAAGAGAGGGAAGGTAGACCCACATAGAACTGGTTCAATGAGGGTTCCTACCTTATGTTCTATCTCCATTTTCGCCCATCAATCGGTATGATGATCTATAAGGCTGCTGATATTCCATGTATTCACATATAGCTTTATTCATGATGAATACACACACACACATATTTTATATATATATATATATATATATATATATATATATATATATATATATATATATATATATATATACACTTGCTTCAAAAGGGTTGATAAATGAAAGTAGTCAACCTTATATAAAAGTTCCAATTTTCTGAAGGCCAATAAATGTCTCATCTAAATGGAATACATCAGAGAAGATGCATGAGGTACAACAAATGGCAGATGGGCAACTAGATTCACCTTGCAATTGTCGTTCCTTTGCTAGAAACCACGAAAGTGATTGCACACAGAGGTTTAAAGGCTGCGATTCTGGATTCTCACGAAGGGTCTCATCCCCAGAAATAATTAGTTTTGGCCCGAATTCATATAACAGTCTCAAGGAGTCCATAGAGGATCTGCAAGTCAACTCTCCAGCATCAGTAGTGTCCTCTTTTTATCAGGAGGAAGAGGATGAACAAATTGATCCAGAAGAGGATGACATTATGAGCTCCTACATAATTGAAATAAATCCTAGTAACAGGGAAAGGATAGGTGAAATGCATGGTATAGATGAAGCAATTGCTTGGGCTAAAGAAAAGTGTCAAACAAGTAGTTCAGAAAAAGAATGGAACAAAAGAGAAGCCGAAGAACACATGTGTGTTGGAGTAGAAGGTGATGTAACTATTGAGTTTATGTATTTGAAGTAGCATTTACATATCAGGATTCTATAGAACTAATTTGCAGTTCATATGTTGTGTTTGTTTTGCAGAAATGACTGGTGTAAATGAGATTCCTGAAGTGCATATAGCCAGATATGGGTCAAGAGAATCACCTTTGGTAAATATATATGGTGGATTCATAATGTGATTGTGCTAATTGAAAAAAAGCTGTCTATTGATTTGGGTTTGATGGGGTTTTAGATCATCTCCAACAGCTATGTTAAAGTAGAGATTTTGGAGTTTTTGGTGCTCCAACATCTATGCTAAATTGCATGCTAAAATGGAGAAAAGAAGAGAGAAAAGGTAGAAATCTCCAAATTTGGAGAAATCTCTAAAACTCAATGTTGAAGAGAGAGAGAGAGAAATATTATTTTAATTGTTTCCATCAATGAGGTTGGATGTATTACTAATTTTTATGAAGTTTTTTTAAAAGTGTATCGAGATGATGAATTTATAAAATATTTTAATAATATATTTAGTGCTAGAATTGTTGAAATAAAGTAGCTGTTGGAGATGGGTCTAATTCTTTTTACGAGCTTTTGATTCTTGAAACTCTATTATAGAAAAATTATAGCATAGTTGTTGGAGATACTCTATCAAGTTATCTAAAGTGTAACGCCTTTACCTACCAAAAGAAGGAAAGGCAACATCTGCAATGCGATAAAGGGCTATTTAGCCTAATCCATATAGACAATTTAATTCATATATACCACTTAATCCATACAGACAACTTAATTTATATTGTGGCACGGGCAAACTGTTTTGTTCCTCCGTCGTAGTGTAAATTTTTCTAGGGTCGTGAAAGGTGCCACCGTATTATTTACCATATATTCCTTAAAACTATGATAATAACACAAGTTTCTCTTAGTAGAATTGGTTTGCATGGTCAGTGCTTTCCTTCCAGGTGAGTGTTCAAATCCTATTATTTTCTTAGTTTTTAGCTTTTAATTTCAAGTTTATTATGTTTCTTTAAAAGTTTGGGATAAAAGACTCGAACACAGGACCTAACATACAAAAAACAAGGAACTAACCAACAAACCAATGATGATTTTGTAAAAAATATCGTCATTTTTTATAGTCAAATGGTGCCACCACATGAAAAAATTCTGATTAGTGGATACCATGAGGCATGATATGATTTGGCATTTAATTTGATAAAGAACATAATATGCATCTTCTGTCATGGTTGCTTTACTGCATTAACACTCATCTTCTCTAAACTTCATTTGCAGTTAGATAAGCAAAAGGAATGGATAACGGAAGAATCGTTACAACAACTGGAAAAAGATGCAAGCCCGTGTGACCAGGTTAATTTTCTTTCGTGATACAAGCGGACATAGTAGATTACACTTTTTTTATATGATGGGATGGTCAAATAAGGTTTTTTTTTCCGGAGAAATCTTCTAGGTTATTCTACATTAATATATAGAGTACATAGCAGGCCTTGGACCAGGAATTAAATCAGTAATAATGTAAACCGTTATTAAGCGAATATTTTTTTTTTGATTAACCTGGATATCCAACCCGCTATGTGAGCTGACTAATCCCAGGGCGCGACCACCTGCTTTGCAGATAGCCCGGAGTCACCGCATTTGAACCTCCGTGGCCACAAGAGGATTTTTATTCCTCCTTGGATTTGAACCTGGGACCTCCTGGTACTTTTAACCTTTGGAGCCAAGCTCAAACCAATCAGGCACCACCCTTGTGGTTTATTAAGCGAATATTAAAGATACTAAAGGAGAGATACCAATGGTGGATCTCCATCAGATCCTCCAAAATGGAGATTTTGAAGTTTTGCTCCAATAGATACTCTAAAAGTTTCTCCAAAATGGAGAAATTAGGAGCGAGAGCCTAAAAATCTCCAAATGTGGGAACTCTCCAAAATTTATTATGAAGAGACAGATGTATTTTTTTTTATTGTTTCTACTCATGAAGTTCAGTGTGTCCTAAAATAAGTGTCCACAATAGAAATGGCACATGCATAGTTATTACAGTTTTTAGTTAACCAAAGGACAACTTTATCTTTGATTAATTTATCTATCTTATCAACTCTAGAATATTTGTGTATTAGTTAAGGGTAGATTTGGAAGTTCAGTTATCTACTTTTTGAAACTAGACAACTACTTTGTGACATATAAATAGAAATATGGATACTTATTTTGGGAGGGGGGAGTATCTTTTTATATAACCTTTTTTGAAAGTTCCTTGGGGTATTATATGTATTGAATATCTATACTATATTATAAAGCATTTGACAAAAACTCTTAAAAACCATTTTTTATGCATAAAGTACTGTTTATTGATGCATATTACTTAAAATTCAAGATTACAAGTAATTTTGCGTAAGTACAACTTATTAAAGCTTCATTATTAAATTCGTGTAACTAACTGCAGATAAACATAATCAAATACAGGATAAACATCTATTTTAAATATTGAAAATCTAAAATATAATTAAGATAATCATTGAATTATAACAGAATGTTTAATTATTATCTTTATAAAAAATTATATTATTAAACTAAAAATAAATTGCTCTGTCATTAAATCTAAATTAAATTATAATAAAAAAAATTGAATTAAAGAAGTTACACAAAAAAAAAGAGAACTATTAAAAAGTTAAGTTGTTACTAATATCAATTTATTTTTTTTTTCAAAATTTTATGCTATTTTCAAATTTATATTTCATTCAAAAATAAAAACATTATCGCTTTCTTAAAACTAAACATTAAAATCGAACCTAAATTACTTTGTTATTGAACCTAAATTAAACTATAATAAAAAAATTGAATTAAAAAATTACACAAAAAATGAGAGATTTTAAATAGTTAATTTGATACTAATATCGATGTATTTTCGTCAAATTTTTATGATATCTTCAAATTTATATTTTATTTAAAAATAAAAACATAGTCGCATTTTTAAAATCACATAAGATCAATTATAGCATCGACTGAGATATAAAATGAAATATTAAAATCAATATGTATCTTGCTGCATTGCACGAGTATCATTCTAGTTTTAATAAATATAGTTAATGCTGAAATCTTCAAAATGAAGAAACTGTTGAAGTTGAATGTAATTTTTTTCTTCTTTTTGGATGTTTTTATCCTATATTTCTCCATTTTAGAGAAATTACAAAGAATCCGTTGGAGATGCTCTAACAAGCCATGGCGTAACTACATATCATACTAGTTTGTAGTTTCATATAATGTTTCTTCTCTTTGCATCTATGGTTGAACTTGACGATCTTCCACTAATGGAAATGTGTCTTTACATAACGAGACCGGATTTATAAATGATCTGAAAATTTCTATTATTGTTATTACTGCTAATATTTCCAATAAAAGAGTTTCTTTTTAACACTTGTCTAATGTATTAGTACAGATGGAACTAGAATTGCTGGATGAGGATATAAAGTTGTGGTCTGATGTGAAAGAACCGGACATCCGATTGCTTCTATCAACACTACATCACGTAAGTGGATTATCTTATTTCTTGAGCTTATTGAAAAAGCCCCGTTTGGCCGTTTGGTTAGCCATGAGCTAGCTTTTTGAATTAGCTACTTCAAGTAGCGTTTCAATAACCCTTTTTTTTCCAACTAGTTCTTCTACATGTACTTTTAGGTCATTTTACATTGTAATCTTTTAGCTTATCAACTGGTTTTTTTTTACCAAACACGAATCATGATTATCTTATCAGATCAGCCAACAACTAGTTTATTAGTTATTTTGCCAAACATAGCCGTTTCTGCGCTAGGAGTAGGTCTATTCATTCAGTATTGAATTGTTACTCGTGATTGAACGTAGATTCTATGGCCAAGTAGTGGCTGGAACATGATACTGTTAACAAACCTCAAAGATAGCTCAAGCGTGAAGAAGGCTTATCAGAAAGCACGACTGTGTCTACACCCCGACAAACTTCAGCAACGAGGCGCGACAATCTCACAAAAATACGTTGCTGAGAAGGCATTTCCAATCCTACAGGTAAATCTCTCTCTTTCTTTTTGACTGATCCCACAAAAATACGTTGTTTTCGTCTTATGATATACTATTTATTGTTGTTTTTGTCTCCCATACTTAAAGGTAGAAGTTAGCCACAGGAATGAAATAAATGAGTTGCAAACCATAGGGATGAAACCCGTAATTTTAAAAAGACAAGGACAAAAGTTGCAATTTCTAACAAACCACATGGACTAAAAACATAATTTACTCTATATTTGACGTAGATAGTACAGTGACCCGGTTCAGGAGCTCACTCAATCAAACCTTTTTAACTCAGTGGTATATACAATGTTGTAATAACTTGTTTGATATTGTGTTTTTTGCTTTAGGATGCATGGGCTGCTTTTATATCCCAAGATGTTCGTTCGTCTATATTATGAAAGCGACAAATTCGGATGCAAGAATCTGTGTGGATATGGTTAGATACATATATATATACACACACATAATGGGAGGGTGTAGCTTCAATATATATATATATATATACATATATGACCACCCCAGAAGAATTTGCAGGCTTGGTGTGTTTTTGAAGGGATGATGATGATGGTAATTCTGACAAGTTACTTGTAATTTTTGTTGTTTCTGTGTTTAACTTGTGAGAGTGATGAGAGTAGTAATTTGGACTAATAAGCTTGAAATCATATGTTTAAATGAAGGTTGATGTTGGTGTTTTTTTTTTGGCAAGTTAATATGAAGGTTTTGTTTGAATGTATTTTGTTGGGAATGTGTTAATGGAAGCTCTTTGTGACCCAAATTGTGCTATTTTTAGTGGTGTTTTGTAACGCTAAGGGGTTGTTTGTTTACCTTGTAATCGTTTTATAAAGAGGCAGTCTTTGAATCGTTAAGAGGTATATCTTGTTTGACAAAAAAAAAAGGTCTGCCTCTTAATGGTTATAAAACCCTCTAAATGATTTTGTATCATGGGTCTCTCTTAATCATTCAACGTCCTAATTTCACTGTAAATAATTATCAAACAATTATATTTCATTTTGCACTATATCATGAAAGCCTCTTAATCATTCTAACCACTTAATCCTTCTAACTGAACCATTCAGCAATTGTCATACCGCCCTAAGACTGAAATAAAATGACGAGGTTGCTATTAAAATATTCTCTAATGTTGTTTATTGTTTAGTAATTACAAAATAAGACATGTCAAATATATACATAAAAACTTGTATTACAATACATTTTATACATAATTTTCTTTGAAATAAATCTTTTTCGAACATGGCCTATGCCTAATCCCGTCCCAAAAATCTTGGTCAAATTAGATCATGATGCCTAGCTTGGATCGGGCTTGGACTCTTTTGTGCATCTCTAAAATTATGATATAAAAACATCTTTAACAGTTATGCTATAATTTTTTTAAGATAGATTATCAAAAGTCAAAATCTCTAAAAACAATTACACTAACTCTAACGGTTACTTTATTTTAACAATTCAAATATTAACTATATTATTAAAATATTCAATACATTTAATAAAATATTATTTTTAAGCTGAACATTTGTTTTCAATACCTCTCATTGGTGAAAAAAGTTAAAATACTATTTGTCTCGTCTCTTGAATCACGAAAATTTATATTATAACATAGTTACCGGAGATACTCTATACTCTACAGTATGTCTTGGAATACAGTTGACCATTTACAATAAATTTTTACGTAATGGCTTGTTAATGTAGAATTGATAAACTAAAAGGGTCTAAATGTACATTAGGTTAAAGTTGAGGTGCTGAGTGGTTCTTTTCACAAAAAAGATTGGAAGTAACCTCATCCACAAAATCATCCAACAGCCAATAGCTTTCCACCAAAACCACCCATCTCATCTCCCCCCACCCTCCCACCTCCCAAACCAGATAAATAGAGATATATGTAACCCAAGTGACCCAAAACCCACCCTCTCCCCTCCAAAACCACCACAAACCACCATGGCCGCAGCGGCAGCCGCGGCGGCATTCCACTCGTACTCTCCTCAAGAACAACAACAATCAACGGACACCCCTCAACTATCGAAAAAACCCAAAACCCTCCTCCATAAACACCCACTCTACACTCCAACCCACACAAAACTCTCCCTCCAATTCAAAGAAAAGATATTGTGCCTCGAAGTCATGGGTGTCGATTCCGGCAAAGCACTCGCTCAAAACCCGTCTCTCCATTCCGCCACCCTCAATTCCATCCACGACATCATCACTTTCCTCCAATCCAAAGGCATCCAACAAAAAGACCTCCCAAGAATCATCGGAATGTGCCCCAAGATCCTCACCGCCACCATCACCACCGACCTCCTCCCGGTTTTCAACTTCCTATCGCACAATCTCAAAATCCCAGATCACAACTACCGAAAAGTGATCAATAAATGCCCAAGACTTCTTGTTTCAAGTGCTAAAGACCAACTAGAGCCTGCTCTTTCTTACTTGCAAAGACTCGGATTTCGCGATTTGCAGGCATTGGCTTATCAAGACTGCGTCTTATTGGTGTCGAATGTGGAAAACACATTGATTCCAAAGCTGGACTACTTGATCGGTCTCGGGTTTTCGAGAGGGGAGGCAGTCGAGATGGTGTTGAGGTGTCCGGGTCTGTTTACGTTCAGTCTCGAAAACAACTATCGGCCAAAATTCGAGTATTTTGAAAGGGAGATGAGAAGGGATTTGGGTGAATTGAAAGATTTCCCACAATATTTTGCATTTAGTTTGGAGAAGAGGATAAAGCCAAGGCATTTGGAGGCTGTGGAATGTGGGGTTCATATTCCTCTCCCACTTTTACTCAAAACCACTGATGATGAGTTTGCAGAGTTATTGAAGAAGGGGAACAGATCCAAAAAACTGTAAATTCCATCTCCTTTTGTAAGTATTTGAAAATGGATCTTGTTTATTACAATTTTTATTTGGAAATTTGTAAGAAAATATAAACCAAATCAAAGTCAGGGTCCGAGGGGTAGGATGTAAGCAGATTTTGTGACAAAAGCCACCATCCCACTAGCCTTATCAAGCAACATTTTCGGCCATCAAAAATAAATTCTTGATAAGCGCTTATTGGGTAAGAGTCTTCTCCCTCACCGGGTAAGATCATCGGTCCTTGCTATGCCTCTTACCGGTAAGATTCTCGGTCACTGACATGCTCACCCAGTAAGCATTTAATAAACGGCCCTTACCAGAGATACTTACCCGGCAAATGTTAAGTAAACAACCCTTACGAGCATAAGACCCTGGTAGCCTAACTGCAACCGAGCTAGCCCTTTCTCCCATCCATGCTACAGATCATCTGCTACTTAATCCCAGACCTCCAAAAGCTCTAACTGGCTTGATTCCCTTTCCAAATTCCATTTATGAACTCTACTACCAATATTTTGGGTAACCATGGGTATTCGGATATGCTTTCTTGCACTCACTAATCCCCGGACGACCACGAATGTATTGGAGTCATCGGTGAACCTCCATGGACACAAGGGTTTTGCCAGAGCTTGGATTTGAACCCGGGAATATGAAGTTTCCACAACATCCCCCTAAGCCTTGACCATTACGCCACAACCCAAGTGGTTTGCAATCAAAAATTTGAATAACCATTACATTTCAATGAAAATAAAACACTAATAATAAAAGTCACCAATTTAAATACCAATAGATTACAGAGTGTTTATTTGTTGAAGTAATAAAGGATGAAACAAGAAAATCCTCAATTAGGAAGGAAGGAAGGACCAATCAATCAATCTTTTGTACAGACAAATTCCAGAGGAAAACAATAATCCAAATCATGAAGAAGGTGAAGGTGCAGGAGAAGGTGAAGAAGGTGCAGGTGAAGGTGAAGAAGGTGCAGCAGGTGCAGCACCTATGAGGAAAAAAAGTGCAGTTATAAAACAGAACAGAACAGAACAGAAAGAAAGAAACTTGTTCTCCATCCATCCACCCATCCATCAAATAGCAAGATTTGGGCAAAATAAGATGTGAATCCAACTAACCCGTCAAATCCCCATTGGCTTCGTCTCCGTTTCTCCACACAATATCCTGCAATCCAGTTGAAAGGTTCTTGTAGAACTGCATTATCACAAACCCACAAATATCGTTACAACACTTTTCGTCTAAGAAAGATATAATTAACTTGTAAAACTCACAAGAGATCTAACAAGAAAAAGAAACAGAAAAAGGTTACATTTTTATAGCAAAAGAAACAGAACAAAAAAAACCATGAATGCAAAGACTTGAGACAAGAGATCCAACAAGAAAAAGGCGACATTTTTATACCAAAATGCCGATAGAATCTGTTTTAACTTGTGAATTCACTCAACATACCTTGTGAAATTCCAATGTATCTCCTCCAGATTTGCGAACCTCAACCATGTGCAGGGAAGGTGCCACTTCAAAAATCTGGGCCAAATTTCTCCATTTTTGAGCATATTTTTTCTCTAGAAATAACATGGCAGAATTAGGAAGAAACATACCTCCGTTGCAACAGATAAGTGGCCCTTGCGTCCAGTCTTTTCGCCTTGAAGTTTCAACTATAGTGCAATAAAACGGGTGGTTTAACACCGGCTTCCAAAAATAAAGCAACTTTAATTTGTTTTTTTAATTGAAGCTAAAGGGATTAGAAAACATGCTTATCACCTTGTAGTTGTTTTTCTTGACATCAAATCCCAGAGGCAAAGCAGCTTCCTCTATTTTCGAGATAATCTCATTGGCAGGACATTTTGACGTAAATCTTGTTTCACGCTTCACAAGTCCCTGTCCACCCCAAGCACGATGTTAATCCTAGCAACTATAACTTCCATAGTCAATAAGGTCATAGTTCATCCTAGCAACTATAACCTTGGCCTAGTGGTACCTAGTAACCCAACCTTCTTAGTGGTCAAGGGTTGTGTGAGTTCAATTTGACGTATATAAATATTATATACCTTAAAAAAATTAATTTTTTTTTCTGAAAGAATCCGAAACAGCAAAATAGTGTACTCATTAGGAAGAAAAGATGCTACAAAGTAGTAGAAATAAAGTGTACGTATGTATGCATATATAGGGGTGGTTCAAGAAACACTAAACCAAAGAAGGACAAGGCAACCCATCCGAACCATCCATCTATTTTAATCAAACGGTGGTGGATAATAGGGGCGGTTACATTTTACCAGAATTAGATCCCCCATTAAAGGGGCAGTTACATTCAAATTTGCGCCATCTACTCTTTCGATCCAACGGTTGATAGGGGTTCTCTTCTGCTTTTTTTGGGTTCTCTTTTGACATATCAGCATAGACAAAGTAACATTTTTACTAATGATGAAAAGAAAAAAAACCCTTATATGATCGTACTACAAAAATTTGAGCAGGATATGCTGCTCTCCAATGGCCTCATTAACATATTAGAATCTAAAACTATAAACCAAATGATGAGAAGGGTTAAAGATACCATTTGTTTTTCGAAAAGAGAACTAAGGTTGAGGCCCTGAGATTTAGATATAAGCTCAAAAGCATTCATAGTGACAGGTGCCGTGGGTCGTTCATCCCGCCTCTCCACAACAAGTACCTGAGAATCCTATATGCCAAGAAAAAGAACTCACTGAGCATCATTAAACAGGGTATACTTTGAAGTGATAGGTGAGCAGAAATACCCCGGCTTCGTTGAAAATAGCATCCACATCATCTAGACTAACATCCTCTTGTTCAAATCTAGGAGGAACGTATCCTTTCTTAAACCATTCATTTTGAATGACTTCAGATGTTGTGATTCGCTGTCAAATATTCATATATAATTGGTGAACATTATGACTAAAAGAAATTTATAAAATATGTTGATGATCTGAAATCCAATCACCCGTTAAATCCCATCCTGTCATATGCACCACAAACATACACACACACACACACACACAAAGCAATTTTAAACTTTAACGCAAGGACAAGTGAACATACTGTCACAGGATTAGGATCCAAAATCCTTTTGATTAGCTTCTTTGCACTTGAGGAGAACCATGGAGGACATGAGAAGTCAGCCTTATTTATCTGCAATTGAATATATAAGGGAAAAAATTAAGTGGAAAAATTATGTATATAAGAGATGACACCCACAATCTATATTACAACCTGGATATGACAAGTAGAAAATGAAACGAAATCCGATTTGAAGTTTATATCACCAACAAAAACATTTTCTTAACGGCATTCATTTGGTTTGAAGATGTTGATTATGAAACTATATTGGAATAGTGTACAAAATAGAATTCAAAAGGCTCATTAGATTTGTGACACCACTAAACATATCGAGTCTTCAACGTTCTAAAAGAAAACAGATACGATACCTTCTTGTATAGAGCCATAAGGTTTGACTCTTCAAAAGGAAGATACCCGGCCATAAGAACAAAAAGTATTACACCACATGACCACAGATCTGCCTTGGCTCCATCATAGCCCTTGTTGTTGATTACCTAGTGGAGTACAGAACCAAACCCTGAGAAAAGTGGCTTAATCATGATCGGTGATCCATTCATATGTGATTAATAAATAAGCTACCTCAGGAGCAACATAATTTGGTGTTCCACATGTTGTGTGAAGTAAGCCATCTTCCTACAAGAAGAATGCCCAGAAATTGAGTTCAAAATCTCCTAATTTATATTTATGGTATCATTTATAATTGAATTTTATGCTTCAAATCATTTATCATGGAAACTGCAACACTCACACGAACTTGCTGTGGCAGTGCACTCAATCCAAAATCAGAAACTTTGAGACATCCACTTGCATCCAAAAGTAAGTTCTCCGGCTGCAAAATTTAACATGATATGGAACCTATTCATAAACTTACTAAAAAACAAAGAGTGGTTTACGGTTAGAAAGAAAGATGACCTTAAGATCTCTATGGAAAACACCCCGGCTGTGGCAGTAATCCACGGTATTAATGAGCTGCTGAAAGTACTTCCTTGCTTCATCTTCTTTAAGTCGGCCTCTAGTTGCCTGAAGAATACAAGGACATAATCATGTATTAGTATCCAATTGTGAAATATGTCACCAAGGGCATGCAAAATTCCAAGCTCCCATCAACTTACAATTTTGTCAAATAGTTCACCACCAGTGACAAATTCCAAAACAATGTATATTTTCGTCTTGCTCGCCATAACCTACAATAGAGAGGCTTTAGTCACGCAAGAGTTGCAACATAATCATCAACTGAAAACTTGTTTCTTTGTATCAAGAACCCAATCTTCTGCAAAGTACAAACATTAAGAGAACTTGTACCAATGACAGATTGAAGTTGTTGATAACGCTATGTATCTCAAAAGGTGTCAATGTTTTGAATTTCCAACTATTTGGATGCCGAAAAGAGATGATCTTTCTTGCACATATCATTAAGAATGGAAAAAGAAGCAGCCTAGAAGCATAGCTTAAGTCTTCAGATTTTCATCAATCAAGTTGAAAGTATTTTCAATAATTTGCCTTACTATTCTAGTGTTACTACCTGGTATAAACATGCTACCATTCCATACTATATCACCTGCAGTTGTATTTGCATGATCCACATCACAAATTTTAGATTTCTACAAATGGAAAAAGATGGGTTAAAAAACCCTGAAGTGAGATGCCAAATGAATCCGGCCTCGCGGCGTTTTCCCTAAACGAAGCGAGGTGTAAGCCTCGAGGCGGTCCGAGGCGTAAGCCCCGAGGTGGAAATATAATGTACACCAAAATATGTATATATATATATACTACACAAATATATACACATTTATATACAATATATATAATACTAAATTACCAAGGGCGTTGGTTCAGTGGTTCTTGATCGAGGAAAGAGTGAAACCAAAAGATAGGCTGAAAGGGTGTGGAAAAATTGGTTGCTTGGAGGAAGAGGAAGGGTCAAACCACACTCTTTGATTGAGAGGAGAACCTGTTTTAAAATATTAAAAGTACGCATTGGGGTCATTGGGCTTTGACTTTTAGTTTTTTAAGATAAAAAACACTTATATTGTAAAGAAAAGTACTACTACTGCCATAAAGGTCATAAAAAAGAAAAAAAAAAAACCATTATCAAAGCAGATCTGAGGTGTACGCCTCACGCCTCACTGAACCACGACGTAAGCCTCATCCAGGGTCCAAGAGGCACCGCCTAAGGTGTGGTTTTGGACCGCCTCGCCTCAAGGCGTAAGCCTCACATGATTTTTAAAACCATGGTGCCTACGTGTGAAACATTTAGAAATGCGTAACAATGCTAGGAATCTAATTTATGACAAGCAACTAAGTACTTTATCTAGGGTAAATTGGCAAAAAAGGAATGTTCCTAAGTTGATACAGATATGCCAATCTGCACCCACCATTGATGATTTATAGGGCTTAAGTGTGGCGTAATACATGCACACGTGTAATTAATGCTAAGATTCTAATTTATATATGCTACAAGAATATTTAAAATAAATGCAGGAAACCTAATCTCAACATACCTAGGAATAGAAGATATATTTTCATTTCTTCCCCCTATCGATCTTCATAACCTTTCAATTTCTTCAATCCTTAGTTTATTTAATCAACTAAGATATGAGAAAAAGGGCAACAACGATAAATTCTCATGAAACAAGTGATTCTCAGGATTCCACCAATTAAAGCAGAGATTCCATAGACAGATTTCGACTAAAAAAGATGGAGCTCATGCCGTATATGCATTGTATAAGCACCTCATGGGAAAAAAAGAACTTTCTATATTGGGATAAAGAATCTCATAAGGAAAAAATATCTTCTGCAGATGCAGTAACCAACTACGGCTATAACAAAAGCTAATTTTGGGTTAATGACATTTCATGGAGGTTGTAAGAGCAAAAATCAAAATAGCACTCTAAATTTAGATCAAATTGAAGGAGAGCAAGTGAAAATGTTAGTAAATTAGTAGTCAAAATGTCTCAAGCCACATATCAACTAACCTCATACATACGAATCACATTCGGGTGTCTGATTAGTTTCATCGTTGATATCTCACGTTTAATCTGCAATTGCCCAAAAGAAATGTTACAAAAACAACTGCAAACACAAAAAACACAGAGGAAATAATTATTGAACTAGTCTAAGGAGTAAGGACTGTCTTTTGGCTTTCTAAACAATGTTTAGAGAACAGCCATAAAGAACAAGTATGTAATTATAAAGAACCAAGCCATAGAGTTTAGAAAGCAACTGTAGAACTAAATAACAAATTAAACAACAACAGATAAACAATCTGATTATTTTGCTGCCCAACTCATATTAGCAAAGGGGTAGGCTAAATGTTCCCCGTATATTGCTAAATGCACCTCTACCTACTAATTTCCTCCTCACATCCATCAGCGTCAAGACATACTTTTTCCATTTCCAATGCATAATTTGACTTTATTCGGACATAAACTGGGGTGCATATAGCATCACCCAAACTCATATTGGCAAAAGGGTAGGCTATATGGACCTCTACCTACTCATTAMCGTCAAGACATACTTTTTCCATTTCCAATGCATAATTTGACTTTATTCGGAMATAAACTGGGGTGCATATAGCATCACCCAAACTCATATTGGCAAAAGGGTAGGCTATATGGACCTCTACCTACTCATTAACGTCAAGACATACTTTTTCCATTTCCAATGCATAATTTGACTTTATTCGGAMATAAACTGGGGTGCATATAGCATCACCCAAACTCATATTGGCAAAAGGGTAGGCTATATGGACCTCTACCTACTCATTAACGTCAAGACATACTTTTTACCTTTTCAATATATGATTTGACCTGATTATGGAATAAGGAGGGGTGCATATAGCAATACCCATCAGCAAAATATCAAAATTCAATATGATCCTTCTGCAGTTCTGCCTTCTTAGGATACAAAAGAACGAAATCATGAAAGTTGATTTAATTTGGAGCACTTGGATAAAGAACTAAACTAGAAAGTCAACGTCGTATCAAGAAAAACTACAAACCTGATTGATCATCTTATGCTTGAGAACTTTCTCCTTGTCAAGAATCTTGATAGCAACATTCTCACCTGTTTCAGTATTTCTGGCGAACTTCACCTTCGCAAAGGTCCCTTCCCCAAGCGTTCTTCCTAACTCATATCGACCCACTCTAGTCCTCGACGATCGCGACGATGCCATCTGTCGATCACCTCCCTCTAACCCTCAATCTAAAGTATATTAAAACACCCCACCTTTTGTTATATCCCTATACGGAAATATACAAGTATATCCCTATGAATCTTTGACGATTTCTCGAAAAAATGTACTGTTCATCTTCTTTTTTCCCCAAATCGAAAGAAACATCAAGTTTAGATGCATATACCATCCATTTTCCCAGCGTTTTTGTGAACAATTTTTAGTTTTTTCTATTCAAAGATATAATCTCTTCTTCTTGCAGGGTTGCCAAACTTGAGATCTGACAACACTCATCTTCTCTAAATTCAAATAAATTAAAAGGAAACTAAGAAACACAAAGGAAAAAAAAGAAACCCTAGAACGAATTAGCCTTTCCTTCGCGATCCTCCAACCTTAGACCATCGCAATCAGCCAAAAACGAAACCAAAATACGAACAGGCTTCATCCAGAAAAGATGAACATTCACATAGAAAGATGGGTAGGATTCTTGAAATGCCAAATTTTGGGGAAAATGGGGGTTTTGGGAATCTTTGATCTCTGTGGTACCAAAAACAACAAAATGGAGGGCGAAACGAAGGGGGGTTGACACTCGTAGAAATCTCAATAATTGAATGGCGTACTAAATTTGCTAACTTGCAATTTTTCCATTTTCATATTCTCATGCATTCTTATAAGGTTTTGTGTATAATATAAAATTCACTAATTACAAAGTGATAATCCAACCTTCTAGATGTAATATTTTGACCAATTTGTTTGGTTGTTTACTAAATTTTTTATTAAATTTTGTATGGATAAATTTGTCTGTCTAATTAAACGGGTGTTGTTTTTTATTTTTTTTATCTGAACCAACAGTCTGAATAACATAAATAACCGATTTACCCCTAATATTAATTATTTGAACATCAAAACAAAATATCATAAGGAGGTCGATGATGAGGTGTCTCATATGGGAAGGAGCTGGTGCTTTAAATAAGGGATAGGGTGTCATTTTTGTGGTTGAATGAGGACAACACACCATTCTATATATGTGATAAAATCATGTTCTGTGTGAATAAGCAGTAAGTAACCAACCCAAATGAGCTGTGCGAATATGACAGATAGACCAATAAATTTAATTAAGCCGCAAGTAAACACCCCCTAAGACCTGTATGAATAAAGTTAACCATCTTTATCAGTATTTTCTTGGCACGCTAATTTTATGTTTCATCTTCTGCCACACATCATGATGATTGTTTTAAATCAGAATAACCAACTCACATAAATTGTCCTATCTGAAACCGTAAACTACGTTTGAGATTGTTGATTATGAAAACGATAAAAACAAATGAATGTAAAATAATTATAAGATAGGAATGAGGCCTTCAAGATGATGATGGATAACCTTTTGAAATTGAACATGGGATTAATTAGTTGATTGAGATATAAACATGATTATAATACTAATAATTAAATTATTAATTGTTAAACAGTACTAGGTTTTATTTTTAAATTCTTTTTTATTAAAAGATGTGGGGTTCTTTTTTCCTTTTAATATAAGCATTTATAAGATAAAAAAATCAAAATAAATGATAATTAGAGTAAATTACAATTTTTTCCTAGTGGTTTGCAAATCCTATAGGTTTGGTCCCTACACTTTTAAGAAGTATAAAATATTTTTTATGGTTTTAGTTTTGTTTTTAATTTGATCTCTGGCTTCAACGGTTGTTAGATAGATCCCGTTAAATGATTTCTCGTGCCTCTCACATGCGAGCAATTTGTTTGTTTTGTTTTTAATATTTATAATCTACAAGGTAGGAATGCAAGGATACAAATATATTAACCATGGAGGGGGCAAAAGCAAAACCTGCCCCTACCACTGTTTCTTAATTAACACCCGTAATTCATGACACACACCTTCTTGCCCTTAAGTTCTATCTGGTGAAGCACATATTCGAGACAAAAAATTATGAAACGAAAGAGTTGTTCTTCATTTCTTCCTTTTATCGTTTTCTTATTACCCAAACGAAAATGGAGCTTGCATGTTTTTTGAGGTTTTTACCATCATTTCTCATCTACACACGAAGACTATGCATGAAGATTAATGCTTTTTATACCAGAAACACCATTGCAATTCTTGATGTGATCTTTCTTTTGAAGTATATAATATTTATATATAGCAAATAGAACAAATAAACTCACACACTCTCCTAACATTTGGTGAGGTGTGAACCCTTGACCTCTTAAGAGGCCAATGACTCACATACCGCTAGACTAAATACCTTTTGGTTCTTGATGTGATCTTGAAAGCATCATTTTTGTTCCTTTTTCTTGTGTTAAAAAGTGCAACTTCAACTATTATGTTATCTGATTGTGTTATTAATCAGGTGTGGGCTAAATCCTATTGAGGTGATAAGAATGTTGATTATATACTGTAAAGAAAAAAGATTATGTCAAAGGGAAAATCCTACTCTTACTCGTTAAAATCAAGTTGGAGACCTTACAAAACAAACTTTGCCTCCAGTTTTTATAAACATGGAAGTTTGACACATATGCAGGGGGTTACTGGAGAAAACCTGTAAAACCCATATGGTTTAACATAACGAACTTTTGGATCGGACAAAAACTACAGGAGAGGGGATGTTTGGATCGAACAACAACTATAACAGATGGGGTTTATCGAAGAACATAAAGGGAACGGGCTATTTGAAGGGTAATTGTCGAATAAAGGTGAGGATAGGGGATATTTGTCCTAAGGTTGCCTATTCCAAACTTGTAAATATGCATTACGAACTTGTACATTGGCATTTTCTAGGGGGGCGAAAGGCCACACTCCAGTGTCCATGCGTTTTAGTAAAAAAATAATGAAGAAACAGATGAAATGATGAGATTGCTCGCATGCTTAACACATACGAGGTTATTTAACGAAGCCTCCTTTAGTGTTAGAAACCAAATTAAATTAAAAATCAAAACCGCAAGAAAGATTTTATAATTTTAAAATTGTGGGGACTAAACCTGCAAGATTTGCAAATGACAAAAGTGAGATTTGTAATTTATTCTAAAAATTAATCCATTTGACTATTTAATAATAAAATAATGGTAAGCCACATTTTTAGAATTAGAAGAGTATTCGCGTAATGCAGCGAGATATATCTCGAATTTAGTGTTTTTTTTTTGTCTTAATCGATATTATAATATGGTTTTATGTGGTTTTGAGAAAACGATACTGTTTTTAAATTTAAATAAAATATAAATATGAAATTCAATTATTTTTCGATTTACGATGGAATAACCAAATCCATAAATTATGTAGACACTCCAATGGCATGAGTCACACCACCACTAGGTGACAAATAAAGACAAAGTCATTGGAGTCTAGCATTTGGTATCATATTAAAGTACCCACTTGTTCTTTTACTTAATGAATTTATATCAACTAAGGTTAATGTTAGAATTCTTATAGTATATGTCACTTTATAATGTGAGTGTTTGTTTATCAAACGCTTATATATTGAGCGTTTACTGGTAAGAGTCATCGTCTTCAGGTATTTTATCTAGTAACATTATTGGTCGTCAAAATGGATTGTTGGTAAACATCTTTTGTCAGGTAAATGTTTATCGGGTAAGAGTTTTTCTTACTTACTGAGTAAGATTCTCAGTCCTTGCCATGTTTACCTGATAAACATTTGGTAAATGGCTCTTAAGGGTCCGTTTGGTTTGATAGAATGTTTTTTGAATGACTTGAAGTTAATGGGAGAATTTGGAATTGGAAGAACTTCTAATATTTGGCCTGTTTGGTTTATAAGATTTCGAATGGAATTGAATTTAATTCGTTATAGATAATTTATAAAAAAAATAAATCATAACAAATTAATAAGAAATAAAATTATCTTTTGAGTAAATTAAATAAGTAACCTCACACTTTACAAAATAACGCGTCATAACATGCCATAACGTATCGTAACACGCCATAACGCATTACATGCAAGCCAACCCTTAGTGGAGCCATAGGGTTTAACGTGACAACGAACCCAAGCCTTGACACCATGATTATGTATTGATTATTTTTAAAATTTTATGCAGTTTATTCGATACATATCTACAGATTCGTTCACATTAATACAAAAAACATGTTCTATTTTAAGTCGAATTAAAAAATGTATTATTTTTTCTTTTTTATGTAAAACAAAAATTGAAATTTATATATGTATATTAATTAAAGAGTAAATTGCCGTGTTGGTCTCTGTGGTTTGCTCATACAATCTGTCTTTCAGAATAAGTACATTGAGTGTCCTTATGGTTTGTGTTTTGTTACAGGTTGAATCATTGACACTATTATCGTTAAATATAATCCGTTGAGTAAGGGATATTTTAGTCAAATTTACCTATTCATTAAAAACTCATTTTAAACCACCATTTATAAGAAGCCATGTGTCCCTTCATATTAAAATTGAGATTTCACCAGTGAAACCGTTTCCTCATACCGCATACATAGATAGATGTTTTTCTCATCTCATCGGACTCCCCATCACTGGCGATCTTCCTCCGGTTTTTGAACCCATCTCCGACCCCCACATTTGCACAACATAAAGAAATCATCTTTGATCCACCATTATCTCGCTCCTCTTCATCTCCGACATCTTATCTGTAACACTCATGTTTTGCAGGTTTTAGGGTATAGATTTATTTTAGCAAGCCATTTGGTGTCTAACAACTATTGAATGTTTATGGCATTTAAATCAAGAGTAATGGCTTAGTTGGGTTGGGATGGAGAAAAGTTGTGTCAAAAGTCTTCTGAGACATTAAAGAACTTCCCATACAAGTTTGGTCGCTTGAGAAGTCGCAAAACAACTTAAAATACAAATTAGAATGCCAAGTTGGTTGCCAAGTGACCTAAGTGGCCTCCCAAGTCGCCTGAGACTCTTGAGAGATATACTTTGCATTCGAGCGACTTTCCAAGTGACTTAAGTCGCTTCCCAAGTCGTCAAAAACCCTAACGAGTTTTTAAGCCTCTTTTGGCTAGGGTTTGCTCACCATCTCTCATCTCTTCGCCTCTCTCTTCATGGGAACGATTCTTAAGCTATTTGACTCGATTTTTGGAAGGTTTTGGAAGGTTTTGGAGAAAATGGATAGTGGATATTAAGGATTTGAAGATCTGTAAAGGGAGATTCCAATTTCTGAAGATAAAAATTCTTTTGAGTAATTTGAGATCTAGTTTGGAATTCCTCTTGGATTTAAACTATATGGTTGATCTTTGGTGCATCTTTAGGCTTGGCTTATGTTCGGAGAAGATTTTTGGAGAAACAAACTTGTGAACCTGAAACCTTCATTTATGAAAGCCAGAGTTTGGATTTTGGAACCTAGGTTTAACGTAACCTAACAATGTGAGTTTCAAGTTGCTTTGTGAAAACTATGTACATGCCAAAAAACTCTATTTTGATGTATTGGAGTGTTTTTCCTTGATATTTATCAAATGTGTTGATTATCTGATGGTTGATTATTAAATCTTGAAAATTATCCATGTTCGGGGGTTTTGGACATTTTTGATAAATAAAGTGGGGGAATTTTGATGATTTATTCCTCTTAACGGGATTATTTGATGCTA